TATTTCTTTCCATCTTTTTTTTAAAAAAAACCCCACTATTGGTTCTCTGGTTTGCCATATTTAGTCTGAGTATAATACAAAAATCTAGGTAGGGGCTGTAAATAATACTATGTTTCGCCCCATGATGCAAGATTTTGCGCCTTTAAAATAGTATCATCATATTCCTGTTTAACGTAGTGATTTTGCAAATGTAAATTTGAGATCTTATTTCCAAAACACTTAAAATGGAAGGAGGCAGAGTTTGTACACTTTGTCACTGTAAATATCTTGTATCAAGAGCAGCCTCTGCACAGAACCCTCCCACCACCCCAGCGCCTAATGTTTTTGGTGAACTATGGCCACGTTCACACTGCACAGCTGACCCACTTCAGTGCCAATGTCCCAAGCTAGGTGACACAGGCAAGACTGCATGTGCAGCTCTCAAATTATTGAAGCAGAGGACCTACTGAATGTGGCTATTTCACTCCAGTCATAGTCTGTACCCTGTTTCAAAATTTGGTATCAAAGGGCATTCTTTCAGGTAGCCTTTTTAGCCAGAAGCAAAGTATTTATTCCCTGTGGTTTTTTCACAGTTGCTGTGGACATGCTCAGTTACCTGCTGGCTTCCAAACTCTGCCAATACTTTTATAGGCGTTTTTCTCTCTTTGTTTAGAAGCGCTTTGGTAGTCATTTGAAGAGGTGTCAAGTAGCAGGTGAATAGTAGCAGGCTAAAAACTACTCTATCTGTTGTCCGAAAGACAACATGACTCGGAGGAATTCACAGCAAAAGCAGATTGCAACATCTAATAAGGGGAAGTAAAATAGACTTGCTTTTATCTAACCCATTCCAACTGCATAAAGGAAATAAGCACGGGCTTACCCTGCTGGGCTGATACTGTTCCTGATTCTGGACAACCAGCAGGTTTCCAAAACCGTGAGTCACGTAGCATAACATATATGATCACATACAGAGCAGACATTGCCTCTGCATGCCGTTGTGCAGAAAGGCAGGGAACAGAGAGGCAAAAGTTAGACTTCAAGACAGTACTCCCTGTGATTTTCATCCTCGATGGAGGTGGGGAGGAGTTTAACATCACCAGAGCAAGGCAGAGAGATCACGTTCATCTGATCCCTTCTCACATCTGGAACACAGCACAGCCACGGAGAAGCTGGAGAAACTCTGCCAGGCTGCCCTGGCCCACACTTCCTCTTATGTGACCTTTTTTAGTCATTATTAATTAACAATATTCCTGTGGTTGTGAGAACAAGTTTTTTCAGTAGTGAGGATTTTGATTCCTCAACTTACAACATTTCATTTTCTTGCCTCCCTGGCTTGTACTTTTGTTGAGCAGTAGTAATGATTTGCCTGCTGCTTGTTGCTGTTTGATCTCCAGCTGTTAAAAGCTTGCTCAGGCTAACCAGGCTGCAGGTTCTTACACGGACCAGTGAGCGTGGAAGGGCCCAGCTCATGCACCTCAGCCATGACCTGGAGCAACCACCGTGAGGCAAGCCACAACCGTTCAAGCTCATTCGCTTGCAGTCTGTGATGGCGTTTGGGTTGCGGAAGGTACATCCACCAGGACCTTCAGACCACACAGGCCTTTGGACAGCCCTCAGATGGTTTCCATACTAAAGAAGAAATCAACATTAGTTGGGCCACAAAATCCATATACTACATGATGAAGCAACATTATTCTGAATTGGGCTCGATGTTTCTGAGATTAATGATTTTCCTTCCTGCCCTTGCAACAACACTGCAAGACCTCTGCAGAGCAGCCAGCAGCATGTATAATGGATTCCAGACTTCTTTAGTTATAATAATATTATGGCTATACATGGTCCTCTTTGTCTCAAGTAAATAATAAAGTGATCTGCTATGACAAAATGTTTAAACATCTTGGGGATGGTTCTACCCACTATATACTACGACTCACTTGATTTTTCTCTCTGACATATCTGTTTCAGTCGTTGGTTGCATTGCCAATTCATAGCATTTAAACTAAAACAAGAAAAGAAATGATAAAATAAAAACCGCTTACATAACTTTTTTAATCCAGGAAGATCCCAAACTGCTTTACAAACTATAGGTTAATCCTGCCGTCTTTCTTGGGATAGTTTCTTATGCTGTCAGTTCTCTGCAATAAGGATACCTAAAGTCTTCGGTGTTGCTGAGATTCTTGATGTGCAAGAATCACTTTCGTATTATCATCATGTAGTGTCTTCTAGAACGGGCATGTTTTTTAACTGTATTAGGATAGATGTAGTACAGGAAGCTAACAACGTCAACAACATCTGTTATCATGAAAACTAGCAAGCTGGTTTGGAAAATGTTTTTAACAGTATTTAAGTTTTTATGCCCTGGGATATATGCATATCTCACAGGATTAAAAAAATCTATTTTGTATTTTCAAAAAGCTCATCTGTAAACAGGAACTGTTCTTATGGTATGATACCATCAATATACATACATAAGTGTGTTTCTGAGGTGCTAAAGAAAAATGCTTATTTTCTCTATGGAGGGAAAAGCCAGGATAAGTTTAGGACACATTAAAAATGCCAACAGAAACTGAAAAGTTGATTTTTATAGACTGGAAACCTGCTGTTACCAAAGCATCTAAGAGGTTGGTGTCATCATATAGAATAATGGAAATTCAGGTATAAAACACAAAAAGGTATTAATAGATCAGTTAATTTTAAAACCAGTGATGGACACTATAAATCCAGTAACTCCATTGCACTTCTTCACTGATAGTACAACTACATTTTGAGAAGACAGTACTGACGTCGTTCATCAAATACAGACTGCCGCAGAACCGGACTCTGAAACTAAGCTTAATTTCTATATGGCAAAATTACCATATTTTCATGTATATAACCTGCAGATTATCTAATGGAGAAATAAATAGCCAGGCAACCTCCTCTTACTCCTCACTGTCTTAGCAATTGCTGTAGTACACAAGTCTGTCATTGTCTGAGGAAGCTGTTTACTCAAAAACCTCTTTCACATGCTAAACACCTTGCCTGCGATCACCAGTGCCTACTACCTTTTTCTGGGTATTTTTTAGGTATCCAACTCAGTCTGAGTCATCTATGCACTTAGTTAAGGGGTTGTGAGTTTCAAAACTTGCAGGTTATAAGTTTGAAAATATGGCATCTATTGTCATGTTTTACATGCTGAAATATGAAGGATGAATATGGTTTTGCTAAGGAAAACATCTACTTATTTCTTCCACTGAGCAATGAAAGGATTAGGAAAAAAAGAAACAATTTTATGACAACTGAGGGGAGCACAGACAGACAGTTCATTGGGGAAGGGGTGAGAGTTACTGGAGTGACTTATCAATGCTCATCTCCTGCAAACACAGGAAAAGGAGCATATGGGGTATGCTCACCTGATCCTAACATACATTCCCCGCTTAATGCTTCAAAAAAAGCAAAGAAACAGAACAACAAAAGTCAGTAATGGAAAGTGGCCGAGAATCCTTCAGGAATTATTGAATTGTTTCCTTTAATTTGTAATAGTATGGTGGAATTACCAAGTGGTATAACCAGGCTAATATTTTTATATATATTAATGCAGTCATTACATTTTTATATACACACACGCGCGCACACACACGTATTAAGCTAGAATACAATTTTTGTACTACAAACGCTGGTCTTAACCCGTACGACAATTCTGACTGAAGACTGGGAAATCAATGTGCAAAAAAGCTGAAGGGATTAGAAGAAAAAAGGAGAGAAGGGGAAGAAGAAGTGAAAAGAAGAGTGCTTACAACTAAGCACAAGCAAGTCTCTATCTTAAGTAGCACTGTTAGACTCTTCTGTTTGGACAAGGCCTGCTAGAATGATCCTTAAGTCCGATCTGCACTGGATACATACAGTACCAGCTACTATACCAAACGACCTCCTCTTTTCCTGATCCTTCTCCTTGGGTCAAACCCTCACTCTCTTTTTATTTTTTTTCTTTCCCTGATCCTTCTCCTTGGGTCAAACTATCACTACCTTTTTATTACGAAAAATCTTCAACCCCATTTGCTCTAGATTTACACTTAAAATTAAAGGGCAAGTTATGAAATAAAATGACTACTTCTATCATCATCCCATCTGCAACACAGTGCTACCCAAAGGTTTCAGACCAAGATCAATGTTGTGGCTTCACATGCTCTATGGCTTCAGGAACTGCTCTCTTCTTCTTTACCCTACTCATTCTTAGATGACTTTATTTTGCCAAAAATCAGCACACAGCCTTCTGGAACACTACTAAAATACACGGGTGACTCTGTACCCTTTCTGCCCCCTTCCAAATCTTTATTCTCTCTTGCCAAGCCCCCACCTTTCTTGACACCTTATTCAGACCATAGTTTTATTGAGCTCTCTTCCTTTGCTTCTGTGTTCATTGGTAAAAACAGCCCAAAATCATTCAATGTCATTTTGTCCCATGCTTATCAGTATTTCGTTTCTTCAATTTATATTGCATGTTCTGCCTGCTCCTGAAGTATCTGTCTCCCATTTGGTCTGGCTTTTTTTTGGGGGTGGGGGTGTTTTGGTTTTGTAGCACTTAACTTTACAATAACCTATTTGTGTCACTCTGTCAAATGAGATCAAGCTATGCTTTTTTGGCTATGCATATAAAAAACCTAACCTGGTTTTTATGTTGTTTCTGTGTCTCATGCCACAAATAGTGTGGATTTGTAATATCTCGCATTGAAGCTATTTCAGTGTTGCTATTTATACAATCTTTTAAAACCAGACCAACAGATACATAGATACACACAGCAATTGGTCTTTGACAACAGATTAAAATTAATTTTATAACAGTCAATGTAGAACAAAGATCTGTAGTTTATTTGTACCACAGAGTAGTAAAACTATTTAGCACTGATAAATGGCAGCATCTATTTCTCTGACAACAGTATTAAAAGATGACTTAACATATTCCGGAGTAAGAAATCACTCCTAAGCAGTAATTCCGTAAGACAGTTCATAATATAAAGAATTATGTGCAGAAATGGTGCTGTTCAGCCTGAATTTACAGGCACTTCCAAATACAGGTAATAGTTCACACTACAAAACAACAGAGTCAAAAAAATATATCACAATACGGCTTAACTTACTTACCAGGCAGATGTACTCTGAAAAGACATCAGGGGTGGGCTTAAAGCATCTCCTTTTAAAGTATGTACTGTCTGTGATGTTTGAGGCTGTGGCTGAGTTTGAGGCTGTGTCTCTGGCTGAGGCTGTGTCTGTACTTGGCTTGGATCCTGAGCAGGGTTAATCCATCGGCTCTGTCCCTGTGTCATCCACTTTCCCTGGATGCCCCACCGTGCCAGGTAAAATTTGCAAATATCATAGTTCATTGAAGAGTAATATAAAAGGTCCAGTACCAGCAAGATCACCACAAAAAAGCCATAGATCCACACTCCTAACAGTGCACTGTAGTTGCTGTGAAAGAAAAAAAGGGAAAACAAAAAAGTTATCCCATATATCGGTAAAGGTCATCATGTTAAGTTTATCGAGGTGGTTTGTTTAATTAATTATATAAATATAACATATAGATGGATGAAACAAAAATTTTGTTCTCAAGCATGTGTCCTTAAAAATTATTTATTATTTCAATCTAAATACTGCTATATGCATGACATGGGAGGTTTTTAAAAACCAAGGCCACCTGTCTTACAAACATTTTTATTTCTCCCTCTCATCTATGTATTCGTATCAGCACATAAATTTGGTTTACAGTTAGCTTCAATGCTTTAAGTGAGACCGCTGGTATGTACATGGTTGATGGGTCGTATGTCTTGTTCTGCAAATTCTCACTCCCAGAGACTGACCCTACCAAAAGTGACAGGGCATTTGTGAGAGCGAGGGGTAACCGTATGAAAATATGGTGTAATAATTGAGACCGAGGAGTGTCCATACTATTGAAAACATTGACTGCTGACATGCATTATAAACCAGTCATCTTAAAAGGTGTTTAATGTGCGTGGATTTGCTCTGAATTTAATTAATTTAACTGCTAAAGATCCCTTAGTTTGCTGGTAATAAATTTAGGAAGGAAGAACATTGACAAGATCGCATTATACAATGCATTCCACAGGAAGGAAAATATATACTACATTTATACATCTATGTGTTGCTGTCGTTATAATGTGTATATATAGGTAAAAGCCATGAAAACTATCAGCTGCTGACATGGTACACGGAGCTGTAAAGCTATGACAGGTGACTAAAGGTATTAAAAGAAAGAGCGGGGGGAGGAGGAAAAGGTATAAGGGGTCAAGAATTTGGAGATCAAAAAGGAGAAGAAGTGCTAAAGCTCTGCTGGAGATGCAATATTATTAAAAGAAAAATGACTGTCAGGTGTAAATGCAGTTTGGATTGGAAACTGCGTGAGTGGGGAGGATGAGGTCAGAACAGAGAAGGAAAGAAATGGGTAAGAATGAGGTGGTTAGGTGTACAGCGAAGAAGGCTAATCTAGACCTATGAGCTAATGTGGAAGTATGTGTACCAGACACTGTAAAAACAAGAGCAAGCAGAAGGGACACTAGTAAAAAAAGTCATTAGGAAGACAGTCTTGGAGAAAAATGAAGTAATAGGTGGGCAGCCCACATCTACGTGAACCTGAATTTACATGAATAAAATTGAACACACACTCACCCATGCTCTCTTTCACAGACATTCAGAGAAACTTTAAGGGAACTGTATTTTATCAGATCATTGATCCAAACAGAAGCGTTGTGAGAGGAAAAAAGGCCAAGAAGTCACGTTATAGATGCAAGCCAGAAAGATATTTTGATGTCTTAAAAACTTGTCCCAAGCCTTTTTGGATCTAAAATATTTCAAGTCTCTGCTTTGAACTTTCACTTCCATTTAAACTTTTCTATGACTCTTTCATTTTATACTTTGAAAAAATCGGGATTTGAAACAAGAAATCAGATAAGAAATCAGAATTTTAATTTCTGTGTTGCTGTCTGTCAGCACTTAAGAAGACTGATTCTCCTCTCCAGGGAATGATTTTTCCACTGCACAGATATAACGTGCTTAGACTAAATGAGATTCCATAGCAAATAACTGTAAGTAACAAGAGGAAGGTAGAGCTGTTAATGGGTCCCTGCCTGTGTAACTTTAGGATTACGCAAGCCTAGGATTTTAAAAAACTTTCAGTAAGTTTCCAGGAGGATTAGAAGTAGACAAAATACAGTACTTCTGAAAACCCTTAACTTGAGCGTCTTTGCCTCTACTAAAGACGTACACACGCATGCCTAACTTCACACAACAGCGGGTAGACCTTTCTAATGCATTAAAATCTTTGCAGTCCAGGCACTTGAAAATGTAACGGGATCTGGTTAATCCAGGCTTCTCAACAGTGCTACTCTTGAGTTTCAGTGGATTTATTCCTAGTGGGGTAAACTCTTCTGCTAATATAAACAAAAGGGAAGTGAAGGCTGGAGAAGTCAGGAAGAAATCCACTGTAACAAATCCTGTTCTTCATCACTAATACCCACAGGATCTGTTTTACAAACAGGTGAGCTGTATTTGATCTATAATAAGAATGGAAATATTAGAAAACATGTTATTTTTGTTTTGGCAACAACGTGAGAGGCAGGAACATTTCTTATAGTTAACTCAAACGAATTTTGTTTGTATTTTAGGTATTTAGTTTCACCCATTAAAATTTTGGTTCGCAAAAATTAGAGCTATTTTGAGTGTTCCAATTTGAAGTAACAATTTATTAATCATGCCGTATGCGAGTTATCCATCTGCTCCTTCTAAATAACATCTGTTTCTCACAAGTACAAAAATGAGAGACTGCTTTACTTTAATTAACAGACAGTGGGACAACAGCACTATCAAAAGGGCCTTGTGAAAAATCACAAGCAAAATTAGTAAGTGGTATGTTTTGAACACAGAGGGAAATTCCATACTTTGATGTTTTCTGTTTCTCAAACTATGAAGACGGTAGAAAATATTCATTTTGCTGATGACTACTAATTATAGTAAAAATTAAAACTTCCCTACAAATTAAGAAAAGAACTAGGAGTCAAAAAACTCCTAGGACTTGCTCTCATTTCACTGAACTGAATGATTTAATTGTAACAGTTTCATCTTGCAATCTGATTTTCCTGTACTTTTGTGCAGTAGTTTCATTTCAATTAAAAATAAAGTGTGAACAGATTCCAGATGTACTGAGATTCAAATTATAGGGGTTTGTTCCTTCACAGGGACAATCAAGTATAATAAGTTGTTTTGGTGTAGTTGTATCTCCTCTCCCTTTCCCCAGCTGGAAAGCTTGCCCTGCCCTGCTAGCACTCCTGCCCTTCCCAATCAGTCATTTTGGAGGCTTCTGTTCAGGCTCAACACGAGGTTTAGCAATATAACACTAAAAATGACTTCTAAAGCTATGTTGCTCAGTCCTCTGCTGCTGCTGGCACACAAATTTAAAAGCTAAATCTATAGAGTAAAAGTTACAAGACAATTGCCTTTTAGCTTGTCTGTGAAACAGGGTAATTTATGGACCTAGCCGAAAAGCTTAATAGCTCATTATTTTAAGATACTTCATCTTTTACAGAAATATGATGTATATATAGTATAGCCTTGATACAGAGCCCACATGTGTAAACGGTAAGATTTGTTCTGACTTCAGGGAGCCTTGAATTGGGCTCTCGGAACAATACATACTTTTACCACCCATCTCCTCCTATTCCATCTACAGAATCCTGCTTAGATTTCTCTAACATCCCTACACACAAATGAAAAGACAGGTTCTTTTATTATTATTCTTACCCATGTGATTCCTTCCATCTAATTCATTAACTTTTTGAGACAGATGACAAGCAGGTTAGGACCAGGCTATATTTTTTTTAGAAGAGTGTGTTGGTTTTTATGTGCAGCACATGAACAGAAAATAATTTATTCAGGAATTCAGGCTTAAAAAACAAGAAATCAAAACAACTGTGAGCAGAATTCTACAGCTGCAGAGTTTAAATGCAGGCAGATGCCCATGGAAACTGTTTCTTTCCTGTTCTCCTTAAACGGGGTTCTTCCTTGCAGTAGTAGTTGCCCCAAGGAATTGCAAGCTTACATCCTAGCAAATGCCTTGGTACTTCTAACACTGAGGAAATCTGTGCAGATTTTGCATGTACATTTTAAATGTTTTTTTTTTTTTCCTATTTTGTTCTTACTATTATCTCAAGGCCTTTGTCCAATCCTGTGTTTTCCTGTAGAATCTTTTACTGTAGTACCTGAGAGGTCTTCCCACTTAAATTACATCTTTTTGCAACAGTTGGTAGTCAAATTAGTAATTTTTTTTTCTTTCTTGTAAAGATGACTTTCTGGGAGATATTTAAGGAAATGCCAGCTCTGCAGGGGACAAGCTGTACATGGATAAAGATAGTGCTATTCTATCCTCACATTGCTTTCAGTGCAATGTCATAGTGTGGTGTGCAAAAGCCATTCAACCCTGAAAAACTGGAATAAAAGATAAGGAAAAAACATGGATGCATTACAGACTGCCATAACACAGTTCCAGTAGCAGATTAAGGAACCCTAGCATAGTAGTACTGCTGATAATCCACCAAAACATTCATAACAGAAAATCTGAGAGAGTGAATGCTAGATTCAAGTGAATACTATTTCTAAGAATAGTTAAACAACATATTAGACAAAGTTTTATGGAAAAATACTTTCAATGGCAGAACATTTCTTGTCCATTAGATATCATTGGTATGTCTATATTTAACACTAAATGAATTGTTCCCATTCAAAAATATTACACACTGATTAATCTCCATGATCACAAAGATATAATAGCCCAGTATTCTGCACTTATAAATCATAGAAATCTTTTGTTATAGTAATGGAAAAAAATGTAAATAAACCTGGCTATAGTTATATTGTGTGACAGCAGAAGACAAACATGTTTTTTCAGCTGTGCCATGACAAAGAAGTTACAAGTCACTTCATTAATTATTTCCCTCAATGGTATTATAAAACAAGAAATTTGTTTTGATAATCATAAGAATGGCTAAGGGGAAAAATAAACCAAATAATAATATTGAAATAAACCAAATAACAATATTGAATCACTCTTCCCTGAAAACTATAATCCTTTTTTTCAGTTCATTGCTATTCCCATACCCTAAATCATTCTCTCCAGCCACAGTACAATAGGTTTCATCAGAATTTTTTTCAGTGGTGTGTGAAATTAGATTTAAACAAAGAGCTGACTTTGTTACTGTAAAGTGAACCCTGGATGTATTAGAATCCAAATAAAGTTAAATTATTGTATATGTTAAATAAAGTCAGAGTATATTAAGAAAGATGCTTTTTACAATGTTTTTAATGTTGGCATCTAGGCTTCACTTCTTTCTGCCCCTCCACAGCATACTAATATTATAAGGGAGTTTTCTACCAACCTCAGTGAGCCCAGGGTGAGGAGATCTCTCTCCCTCTGTCTCAGTACACTGGTGGAGTTTTACATAGAAAGTTAGCGTCTCTTCATTTTCCTGGCCCTGACTGATTTATCAGAAGTGATGATTCAGAGAGTTACAAAAAGGCAATACCGGTTCCACTCTCGCACTTTCCTAAGCTACACCTCCAAAAGCTTTTTATTGTATTTAGCACGATTTCACATAACTTTGCAAAAGATTAGCACATAGCTAATGTCCACAGGAAATTCTGTGACTACAGAAGTAGCTCTTTTTCCATCACAACTGAATGAATTGAGGGTTTTTTTTTTTTTAAAAAAAAAAAAGATTGCTAAACAAAAACTAATATAATACTTACACTATGCTCTAAGTATTTTCATTAAAATAAATACTGTAGTTCATAGAATACCAAATTACCTTTTTCCCATTGAGGAACTGCTCACACACAACAGCCCTACAATATGAACAGCCCTATATTTATTTCTCTGTATGTATACATATACAGATGTGAGTGGGCATGCAAACAGAGAATGCAGGAGGCAGAGAAATGTTCTACATCCCAGGGCATATTTTGCAATCAGACTGTACCTGATCCTCTGTGCATGTCTGCTTTGGAAAGTGGCTGACTGCCCTGTCCATTTCAGGTTGTTGGTGAAAGGAAGAACAGAAGGGCCTTACCTTAGCAAGCTCTGGCCATGACTACGTGGAGCAGCTGCTGAGATATTGGAAAAAAGCCTGAGGCATTGGCTTTCTACTCGGCTGAACTACAACTGGCCAGTAACATCCCAAACTCTGTGACGAAGCTGCCTGTTAGGCAGACTTGGTTGCTCAGCAGTGTTGGTGCAGAACAGTAAGGGAAGAAATAAAGCAAATTTGCTGTGTGTGCAAGACAAAGAACTGGGAAAGTGCAGGGGCAACAGCCACACTAGAACATTCTTGAGACTCTCTTTTTATCACTCTGAGCGTGAAGCAGTTTCTGGCTCTGCCTGCGACTATGCGCACAGCCCTTCTGTACTGAGCGTCCTGTGAGGACCTCTCTTCGGGCAGGCATCAGATTGCTGCCGTGGTAGCACGGTCACCCCATTAAACAAAGGGGGAACACATCCTACTTTTACCACAGAGCATATGTAGAGTATGCACTGCACGGGGGCACTGGGGCATCCTGGGGTATAAACTCCACCAGGCTGCCTGGAGGCATATATGTTGGCAGAGTTGGGTAGCCCCAGGTGAGGGTGCTACCAGTTTCTGGATTGTCTGGACTGCACAAACTGTGGAGAAAATGGATGGCCTTTAATGTGCCTGTTAGACTTGAAGTGTCTCCCCAGCGTTCTGTGTGATATGTTCTCATGATGTTCCCAGATGCACTACAAGGCCAAGGCAAGGAAATTTCACCTCAAGGACATAGCTGCACATACAAAACAAAATAGTACAGATCCACATTGATTTAAAGGTATCTTAGATGGGTAGAGTCTATTTTTGTCTGTCTTTTACTCTACACAGTACACAGACATCTTTATAATAGGTGATTGTTACTTTAACACCTGTAAAGTTAGAGGATGCAACTTCTACATCTATGCAAGATTCAAACTTCTCTAGGCAGAGCTGTATGAGGGATGGTTGTTAAGGAAGACGACAGTTTGCTGACTCCATGAGCTGCCTGCTGCTGGACACAGCTGCACACAGTGAGTTAAAAGAGCCGACACCAGTATTCCAGCACCACAGTCTCCTAGCAGCCTTGCACCTGCTTCCGTAGGAATGAATGACGACACACCGACCGACTTTTGAACAGCAGAAAAAAACACTAAAATCCCTGTTGTAAACAAAAATCAATAGACTGGAATTCCAGTTGTCTTTAACCTGCCCCTTCCTTGCCCTGGAGGGGCTGGGTACCAGAATAAAATGGCAGGGGAAAGCAGATAGATCAGAATTCAACCTTGGGGGTTTACATCAGCTGAAAGTTGCCCTCTGCACCAAGAGAAATCGCAGCAGATTAGCATGGCCAGAATGTCAAATACTAAATAGGAGACAGACCACAAGTGAAGATTTTGTCATCCTAAGTAGGTAATCAGTAACTAAGATCTACTTGCTTACTTGTTGGTTCTTTAGAAAAAAAAAGTTACTGACATTTATCCTAGAGGACAGGCCCCAGCAGTACATGGAAGCATCCCAGGTAACAGGCAAGGAGACCACACAATGTTGGTATAGAAGCAAATATGTTCTGTTCCCCAAGGTCAGTGATTAAGAGAGATTTATATTCAAAACATCAGAGATCCAAAATAGTGCATTTGGGTTGATATGGAAAATGTCAACTCACTCCCTCTCTCCCCTGCAGACAGCTCTGGCGATTATTTTTACTGATACACATTTAAACATAGTTTGGATTAGATTGGGGTAGGAGCAGAGACTTTTGTAACTTTTACATGTAACTTTGTATTTGTTATAGTTATATGCAACTTTTACGTACACACTCTCCTAGCAATGTTTATAGCCCATGTCAAAGCAAAGAAAGCAGAGATAAAATATCCTTTCTTTTAGGAGTTCTGTAACAGCAAAAACCTTTTAGTAATGTTTTTCTGTATGTGCAATTATTCTAATTGCTTCCATCATTAAGTACACCTCAGACTATGTTATTAGGCCAGGAACAGTTTGGTGAAGAGTACTTTAAAACTCATTTACTTACTTATGCATATATCCATCTGCGTTCCCTGTTAAGTTCATCTGCATAACAGTCTGAAATTCTGTCTCATTGCAGCAGTATTTAAATACTGTGTTGTTATGGTGACAGCAAAAGATGTAAGATTTATTGTCAGAAAGACGGGGGCAGTGAAAACCAAAGTGGTAGCGACCTTTGTAGTCCGTATATGGCTCGCAGACCCGAAAGTGTGCGGACAACACTGTAAAACAAAGAACAATATTGGCTTTGTGAGTCACTTGTGTTATCTGTATGTTATGAACTATAATTTTTCATTGGTTAAGCTTAAACAATTGTTGTTTGATTTCTGAAAAACATTAATATTTCAGAACTTTCAACATCATAACATTTAGTACTAAAAGGTTACAATATTTAGCCTCTTGTTGTATTTTGACTTTTACTGTTATTATGTTTCTGATTATTATTATTTCTTTTAAGGGAAGAGAAGAAATGCCCTCCATGCCAAGAAGCACAAAAATATTTAGGGAAACATTTCATACTGCTGTTCTAAATATATGGATATCCATAAACACCCAACAATGTTCATGTTTGATTCTCCTGACTTCATAAAAACAAAAAGTCTATGTAAAAACTGCAATAAAAGTTTGATGGCACTTGATTTACAGTCAGTGTTCTTGGCAGAAAATATCTTCTCAACTGTAAAGGTCATTCTTTGATAAGAATTATTCTGCCAGAAATAGCAATTACAAAAGTGTAAGAGATCTGAACAACTCTGAATTTGCAAATAGATAGAACTAATACAGCTATTCCTGGGAGTTCCTACACTTCTCCTTTATTAAATTCTCACGTAAAGTGTTTATTAAATCTCTGAGAACATTTTTTACAGGAATATGGGACTATGTCACACTGATTTCACCATCAATTTTCCTGGGGAAAAAAAAGAAAAAGAAACGCTCTCTATATATCCTTGGAATGCTGACTTGAGGCCGATAGTTGTGCGGCGACAGGCACACTGTGGTTACACCTACGTGGCAAGACTGTGGGCAGACGCAAGCTCTCTGACCATGCTCTAACCCTACTGGTTGCAAACAGCCCTGAACTGGAAGCTGTGTAATCATCTTGGTTTCCCTGCGCTAATCTACCGTGCAGAGGGGCAGGGTACAGATCCCTTCCAGTACGGTCACAAGCAACCACACGCAACTTCCTGTTGATCTAAAAAGTCTTGAGCGCGCCAATATTTGGTTGCACATACTGCCAGCATTTTAACTGATTTACAGTTTGTGTTATGGTAGGCCTTACAGCATCATTTAAAATTACAGGTACTGTATAGATCTCCCAAAGGCCTCACACTCTAAGGAAAGTGAAATGTAGAAGTCAAGAGTCTGAATACTCTTAGCAGTGAAATGTTTTTACTCTGATTAGAGAAAAGAGGCACAGCGATGCTGTGGGTAGCTGCACTTCGTAAGGTTACACCAATTAATAAAGAATATTCACTTTAGACTGACAGAATTAACCCTTGTAACTTGCTGTATGATTTTTGTATCAGTTTACCAGTACAAGAGATTACAGATAATGACTTGCATGGATTTAGCTTAACTGTATGGTATCTCTCTGCACATAGTCCCTGTTGATCTGTAATTGCATCTGTGCACCTTATCCATCTAATCCTCATTTCTTTCTATGTTGCTTAAAAAAGCCTATTCCTAACATTTTTGTTTCTCAATTTTATAAAATATAGTAATTTCAAGAATCTCTCACTCTCTTTCTGTAGGTCTAGTCACATTTTAAGGATTGTGACAGTGGAGATGACTTCTTTATTTGTGTGTATAGAGGGAGCCTAGAGCAAAAAACAGAATACTAAACTGAAGAGAAAACAAGGTAACTTATACTGCCCTCTGAGTGAAGGAAAACCACTCTAAACATTTTACATTTTTATATATATATACACACACACTGGCATGTGCGCACACACGTACCTATCATCATTATTTTAACAGAACAGAAAATCCTTTTGTAGATTAATTCACTCAGGAACTGAAAGTGCTAGAAGAATGTGATTTCTAAAGGAACATAGATATTGAGAAAACTAATTACATATCTGCTCTTGCCCTGCCTGGGAAAAATGCGTGTTCCAAATCTGAGGATGCTATAATTAGTAAAGAAATTGTCTTTCTTTAGACTTAGGTTTTCAAAACCCTCTGTAACTCTTGCAACAAATCTGCATGTTCAAATTCTGTTGCAAAATCCACACAGCATGCAACTGCATGACCACATATTTGTTTGAACAAGTACTTACTTCCCTGCACCCCCTCTTAATTAACATAGCAATAATGAAAGTGTTCCAGGACTGACTAAGTCTTGAAAAAACACTCAATGGTTGCGGTTGGAAGGGACCTCTGGAGGTCATCTGGTCCAACACCTCTGCTCAAGCAGGGCCACCTAGAGCCCATTGCCCAGAACCAGGCGGCATTTGAATGCCTCCAAGGATGGAGACTCTACAACCTCCCCGGGGCAATCTGTGGCAGTGCTTGGTCACCCTCACAATGAAAAAGTGTTTCTCGGCCTTCAGAGGGAACCTTCTCTGTTGCAGTTTGTGCTCATTGTCTCTGGTCCTGTCACTAGGCACCACCCAAAAGAGTCTGGCTCAGTCTTCTTTACATTCTCCCCTTCAGGTATTCATATACATTGATAAGATCCCCCTGAGCCTTCTCCTCCTGAGACTGAACAGCCCCAGCTCTCTCAGCCTTTCCTCGTGTGAGAGATGCTCCAGTCACATTAATCATTCAGTGGCCCTTTGCTGAACTCTCTCCAGTATCTCCATCTCTCTCTTGTACTGGGAAGTCCAGAAATGGACACAGCACTCCAGGTGTGGCCTCACCAGTGCTGAATAGAGGGGAAGGATCACTTCCCTTGACCTGCTGGCAGCATTCCTACTAATGGAGCCACAAAGACAAAGAGCTTTCCAGCCAGCTGGCCCCCAGCATATACTGGTGCCTGAGGTCGTTCCTCCTCAGGAAGATGCAGGACGTAGCACTTCCCCTTGTTGAACTTCATGAGGTTCCTGTAAGCCCATTTCTCCAGCCTGTCCAGGTCCCTCTGGATAGCAGCACCCCTCTATGGCATATCAGCCACTCCTCCCACTTCTGTATCAACAGGAAACTTGCTGAGGTTGCAGTCTACCCCACGGTCATTTTAGTTTTAACTACATATCATTTGTTTTTGGAAAACTTAAATCTAGAAAATAATGGAAGAGACATGTGGCATGACAGAAATTCACAAACTAAATAGAACTTTTAACTATTTGATTTCTAACAAGAACAGGAGCCTGATTCAGTTACTTAAATACAGGTCTCCAGTGCCAGCTAAGATTTCCCTAGGCTGTCCTGTCTGTTCTCCAGCTTTCAGTGGAGGAGATACAGGTCTCTTGTAGGTTTGGTGCACACATGGATGATCTAGGGCAAGTCAAATGGCATTAGATGCACATGGTTAGGCACCTATAAAGGTCCCCAAGTGTTTTGTAAATGTTTGATATCAGCTTGCAAGGGTGCATTACATGCATTACAATGCATGTAGTTCCACTAGTCATTACTAGGAAAACAGGTGAGTCTATGCCTGATGTCAACAAACAGAAAGTAAGTCCTATTATTGGGCCTAATAAATGCAAGTGAAGGGGTAGCCTTCATAGTGTAGCACTGCACTTCCAATAGTGATGTTTATCCACGGTATTTTTATTTACAGTATCCAGCAGAGAAGCACCCATCTAATCCTTCTGTGATAAATGGCCAGCTTCAGATGCTTCAAAGGAAGATACATATGTGCTATATTGAAAAAGCTGTGCAATAAACTCCCTAGTAAGAAAAATATCTTTCTATTCTTCTCCCTTAGGGGTTGCTCATGTCCCGAGCATTTGTGTTTGGGGTTTTTCTCCCCACCTTGTCCAGTGTTCTCCCTATCCAGCTGAGGGATAGCTTCCACTAAACCTACAGATTTCTTATGAGAATTAGACAGCTTCATCTATGTACTACTTCAGTTGCAGACATAGAGAAAATATAACTGATCTGAACTGATCAGTTTAACAGTTTTCACTTTTTAGCCATCATGACTTATTCCTTCTTAGTTGGAATATCTGCACTTGAATTATATCAGCTGCTCCTAGGAAACAATTTTCTTCTTTGATACCTGCAAAGCCTCAGAGTGCAAGACAAATTTTGTTTATCATGCATTATCAACAAAATCACCATTTTTTTCAAAATGCAGGTATAATGCCTTTTATGGCTAAAGATATATTATTTTTCCTTTTAAAAGTTACATTATTAGAACTGCTTACATGTTAGTAATTTTTGAAGCCTCCAGTATAGATGGTAGTTTCAAGTTTGGGACATTTTAATGGAAGATATTTATTGCTAGAACTAGCTTTGCAAATAACAGGATAGCAAAAATGTCATTTTTCCTATGTTATTACTACAACTTAGCTTAGGTGAATTACACCCGTGTTAAGCTACGACAAGTGAACAGCAGCCCTGCAAGGTTACACCTGACTTGTATGTACATCTAGTGCATGTTATAAGAATTAAATCTAGTTCTTTATGTTTCATAAACAATCGAATACTTCCATGCTTCTGAAATTATTCAGTGCTCTGAGAGACATTGCATTGTGAAAATACACTAGAGGGCTACAGGACCCTAAGAAGTTTAGCTTGCTCGTCACTGCAAAGTGGTTTACTTAACAGCACATGTGAAGGTGTCCTTTGCCCATTTTAAAAGGAAAACAAACCCCAGACTTCTTTGGGGATGAAACCTGGGGGAAGGATGACTACAGAATGAAGGGAGAATGAAGATAACATCAGGTCAGAGGAGGAGTGATGTCTGTAATAAAATGTAGTCCTAAGCAAATCCTTAAATAGTAAAATGTGTGTCAGTGATTAAAATAAATGCACAAATAAGAGCATAACACGATGACTGAATTACAGTCTGAATTTCGTAGTCAGTGTGTGGTGGGTTAACCCTGGTAGGCAGCTGAGCACCACACAGCTGCTTGCTCACTCCCCCTCCCAGTGGGATGGGCGAGAAAATTCGTGGGTCGAGATAAAGACTGTTTAATAAATGACTAAGGAAAAAAAAACCACCAACAACAAAAAAAACCCAACCCGCAAGTGATGCTAAAGCAATTACTCACTACCAGCAGACTGATACCTAGCCAGTCCCCGAGCACTTTTTGGATAAACTCCCACCCCAGTTTCATTGCTGAGCATGCCGTCATATGGTAGGGAATATCACTTTGGCCAGTTCGGGTCAGCTGGGCCAGCTGTGTCCCCTGCCGGGCTCTTGCCCACCACCCCTCCGCGCTGGGGTGCACAAGGAGAAACAGGAGCGGCCTTGACCCTGTGTAAGGGCTGTTCAGCAATAGCTAAAATACTGGTGTGTTACCAACAGTTTTTTGGTCACCAATCTAAAAGACAACACCATAGGGGCTGGTCTGAAGAAAATTAACCCCATCCCAGCCAGACCTAGTACACAGTGAAAAAACTTTATCAATTTATTGTAATCTGTGTAATTTTACTTGCTGTCTTTGCTTCTCTGAGAATCAGAGATCCAATACACAAAGCGTAATTTTTTAAAAAATATATTTTTCCTGAAAATAACTTTGCTTAAATCCTGATGATTAAAGAGCCCTATTTCTACAGAAATACTTCAGAAAAAAGTATTGTACCTGAAAGGCTCTTAAGTTGTCTGTAAAGATAGCAGAGGTTTCTGAAATGGAGTTGCATGTGCAAATTTTCATAGTATTTTTCAAAAGTATTATTGAACAGGTAAGTCCTATAGATGCTCCTAGCTCTGTTTCTACTAATTTCGAGAGAAGAATAGTCTGTCAAGCTTCAAATGACTGATTTAAGCTCATTTTAAGATTTATCTACTCTACCTTAAAAAGTAAACAGCCAGTGTACTTCAAACTGTTACTTCCCTATCTGTTCACAGTTAGAGATCTGTGTAATCCTGATTAAATTTTTAATTTAGCTACTAAATTTTTAAAGCCCCAAGGCTTTCAGAATGGCTGGTCTTCATAAGCTTTCCATATGGGTCCACAGAAATATTCACATGTATGCATTTTACTTCACCCAATGCTAATCATTTGAGATCCTCTGATAATTTTGCTATATGGACGTTCATTTCCTACTTCAAAGAAAAAATACTGTAACGTGCAAATAATCTGTCAATTTTTGCTTGTTAATATAAGCCTTGCTGTCATTCCTGATTTTATAAATCTGTTTCAAGCCATTAAATGAATGTAAGTATCAACATTACTGCAAAGCAAATCTAAGAGATAGCGGTCAGAAAGGGTATTCTGGCATGACTGCATGCTGCTCCTCCCTTTATTATGCATTCTTTGTGCGGGCAGCACAACTAGTAAGCATTCAGAAATTCTAAAATTGCATGCCGTTGTGATCTTGATAGCATTGAAATGAAATCAGTCTGAAGTTTCAGTATTCTCAATCCAATTTCATCCTCCTTTTAAATGGAGCATAGCCTACCTACTCCGAACTGAAGCCTTTCTTTTCAGCGTTATTTGTCCCTGCCCTGAGAGCATTTTGCCCACGCCAGGCAACTGCATCTCCTTCCTAACCACACAGCTAAAGCTACCAAACTTCATCCTCATTCTGAGCCATGACCTTGGTATCTGACCACACCTCTGCTCCACTGCCACCGTCGCTGCATCTCCTTTTCTGACACAACGAAAACCCGGCTCTGCCAACAGTTGCTCTAGGAATTTTTCTGTTACTGGTGCCCTTGCTTTCACACCGCCTGCGGAGCCGGTGAAAGTTATGCTTCCAATTGTTAAATGCGGTTTTCAACCATGCATACAGATTTTAGAAACTAAGTACTGAGATCGTGAATCTTAGTATATCAAAGACTTGGAAGTAAAGCATGATCTTACAGACAGAAGTCTGTAAATTTAGGGAACTCAAAAGGAGTCTGGCCATTAGATTTTCATTTCAGGTCAGTTTAAAAATTATGTTCATGTCATTCCAGCGAGAATAGCATCCTTTTTTTCCCCTGTCATTCTCACTCCATGAAGCCAGTAGTTTTCCTTTATGGAAGCTGACCTGTCTTGGACAAAAAAAATTTACATTCATGCTGGCTGCAAAATAGTAAATAATAAATTTCATCCTGTAAAAAGTACGTGAGTTAGCAGTGACCTAAACCCACTCCTACGGATGTCAGTAGTAAAATTCCCCAAGGAGGAGAGTTAGGCTGGCATGAAAAGCTTGTAATGATTTCTAGTTAAGCCTGTACTCTACATGCTAATAATGGATGTCAGGTAATAAAATACTAATAGCCAAGGAGCAACAAGAAGATAAGGTACATATTTACAAAGGCATAGTTTGGGATATTAATAAATAAATAATGTAAGAAGTAAAAGATATATGTAATTAATTTCAAATAAAAACAGTAGTAGTAATGTTTTTATTTGAAAATAAGAGTAACTGCCTTCAAAGGCAGTACTTTTCTTCTAAGAGAAAAAAATATCAGAACACTGGCTTTATGTCTGGGTTTGAGGGAATAAGTGTGTATATATACCAGTGGCTGACTTCTTCTATTTGCACACACAGTGTAATCACAGTGTCCTATTCAACTGGAACATACATATTCATATCATCTTGAGGAAAATGGTTGGAGAAGTGGGATCTCAGGAGGTCTCTAGCAGAAGTCCCCTATAAAGAGTGGTAGAAGTACGAAAACTTAACAAAAGTCAACACAGGAGACTGGAGCAGCTGGAAAAGTTTTGTGATGTTTGATCACTGGGATACATTCACTGAAGTCTTCTCGAATAACTGGCTTCATTCATGCATGAGGGAAATAGCTTTCTGAAATGACTTTAACCTGCTACAACCCCTGTGCCTGATTCTAGTACATAGGAGGAGGGTAGTTACATAACTAGGGATGCAGCGCCATACATTGGGATATCAGTGCAAGGACTCTAAAGGAAAATAGTGTTTTAAGATTAGGCAGAGAAGCAGTCTAGTTGATAATATTATAAAATTGTTAGCAAAAGGACTGGTGAGGATCTAACACTGAATATTATAGGCATTATGCAGACAGAGTAGTACCAGCTCTTACTGGAGCACAAGGATACTTTAAGATATATAACGCCGATGTGATGTAGTACAAGGGAATAAGGAGCAGTGATGGGAAAAAAAAATCTTTTTGGATTAAAAAGTGCTTCAAGAATGGAGGATAAGAGAGGTTCTACTGAGAGTTAAAAACTCATAGGATCAAACCTATTTGGACTAAGAACAGTTTTAATTATTTTTTTTTAAATATTCATTCCTAATTACAGAAAACCTTAATGTCATAAACAACTCCTGAAGAACAAATGCTACTAATAATCATTGCATTTGACTAATTCTCAATCTAACAACTGGCAGATTTCTGCACAAATCCTTTCTGTGTGCTGGTAGCAAACATCTAGGGCAGATCTACCAAGCATTAAGAGAAAAATCTCTGGAACCACTCCCTGGTCCAGTCAATTCTTTAGATTCAGGAAAATAACATCATATTTGCATACCATGACATCATGCACTTTTCTTTTAAATATATATAAGTTACATTGTATCTAACATGTATTCATCGCAACAATAGCTGAAATTCCAAGTTCAGTCCTTCACATGCTTACATACTCTTTTGTGCACATATAAAAACATACAATTGGAACCTGACTTGCTCTACTTCCAATAGATGGTTATTTAGCAAAATGGTTGGATTGTACGGTGGTGTAGGAGGAGCTGAAAAACCAGCATATCAAAACAGTAGCTTTGTTTCTTTTAAACTTTCAGCCTGCTTTACCATGTCAGTGTCCCACCACCTTTTCCTTCTTAAACTGAATTTTCAATTGCATTTAAAATTCTAGCTTCCAGTTCTTAAATACAAAGAGGCTTTATTTATTTATTAATCAATTAACAATCCATTTGATCTTGTTTGTTTTGTAGGAACCCAGTATTAAATTGCAACTAATTTTTCCCTGTGGCACGCATCAGTGAAAGATGAGTTCAGAGTATAAAAGTTACCTGCTGACAAGAGTAACGAAAGCAGAACCATCAGCACATTTAAGGACTGTTGACCACAACTTGTCATCGTTGGCTTTCATTGGTCCATTAGAGAATTACCTGTTTGACAAGATGCAACATCATGGTTAAGTGTTTGTTTCATCTCACTTTCATTGTTCAAACTTTTTCTTACCCACAAAGCTTTGGTAAAATGAGATGGCTTCACACAATAAGAAAAAAAAAAAAATCATACTTTTTTCTGGACTTAGAAGTGAAATAAATTCTTCTTTCTACGATTCCGTTAAAATTCCTTTCTCATTTCACCATGAATGTATACAGCTATTTACATACCTTTCATTAACCCAGAGTAGAGATGAATCACATGAAGTCTTTATGGGTTATTCACACCTCCTCTGAAATCTACATTCAGCAAAAGTGCGCTTGTTTTACTGTCACAAGAATGGGCTGTTGTATTATGTCTATAAGGACTAGAAGGATACAAACAATGTAAAAATAAATTGGCTGCTTTGAAAGTCAATCTGTTTTACCCCATTAGAGGGTGCAGTCGTTCAGAAAGTGGGTTGAGCAACTGAGATGGTTGGAAACATTTTAAAAAAACTCTTTTCATTAGAATCAGAGCATTTCATGGGATAATTATTTCTTGTTTTCCTAGAAATGAGGGTGAGATGTGATGCAGTTTGGCTGGCAGTCATCATAAACAGGCTATCCTAGTTTTTTTGCAGAAGAGCCTCACAACGGGGCGAGTCCAAACGCATCTTACATCCGCATTGATTCAACATCACCGGCTGCACGTTCTACAGCTCTAGCAGAGGCTCCCTCCCAACGCAAGTGTTGTCATCAACATCAATAGGAACGTCTGGTACCCTATCCTGTTGTCACTGCTAATGCAGACTAATGCTGGACGCATAAGGTCTTCAGCATCCTGAACTCACATTGACGTTAGAGAATAACGAAGAGGTAATTTATTGGTTTGCACAACAACACTGGGAGCTTGGGCTATAAACCAGAAAGCCTAGGTGGTGCTGCTGAAACCTGATGGGGTGAGTGGAATTCTTGAGTTGATAAAAAAAATTGTTCTAAGGTGTTTATAAAGGATCAGCTTGGAAAAAAGAAAGGAAAACAGCAATTTATGTAAAAAATTACGCTGTTTGTTTCTGGCAGCTCAAGAGCAACATGATGCCAAATGCTTATGAAATCAGTGCTGTATCATATAAATACTAGGTTACTAATAGGTGTCTACTACAATCTACTGAATCAAATTAAAATCCCAGGACAATTGCACCTGCATGTAACAAAGGGGAGCGGGTGAAAACCAACATTATCATGAATAACTAAATTCTGAGTAGCATGTGTGGGCACAGGAGGGGAGACACAGTGCTATCTACAAAGCGTGTAGATACAAAAGATTTCTCACTAACAAAAAATGCTGTGTCTGGAACAAGCAGATTCTCTAAGAAGTCACCTTAGCATACGAAAAACAACAGGTCACAAACCTAAAAATCAGTGTAACTTTTGTACAATAAATCACGATAGTTTATACTGTTATCTGCAAACATGATTAACATCCAAACCACTGTATTTGTAGCTTTAAAATAAGTCAGTTCTTCCAAGGGGAAAACAATTAGAAACCATAACACCATGAGGGAAAAAAAAAAGTGCAGAAAACTATGAATGCTCATTAAGAATACTTCTGTAAGCATCAATCCTATTTGAAAAAGCCGACACCTTTTTTCAGAAGGAATATCGTATTAGTTAAAACACCAAGCACACTCAAAGTTAGAATTACATAAAAAAGCGTAATACAGAATACAAGCCAGAAGTTAAGAATGTAGGAGTTTAATAAAGAAAAACAGATACAAAGAACAAGCTATTGCCAATATTGTTAGGAATAAAAGGAAAAAGATTTTTTCCTGAGTAAACCAAAGCTGCAGGAATTCTGATCGTAATTCATTACTAGAGGGAAATCTTGGCTTTAGTAACAGTTAATTAAAAAGAGATCAATAAGCACTTCTGTTGTGTATCAGGGAAGAGACAGATGTTTGGTATAGCCCAGACTACTAAATATTTCCATATCAAGAATAATTTAGGATGACATTAATGAGTTGATACTAAGGTTTGTAATTTGATATTTGCAATTCTGTGTAATTTGTATCCAGTTATTCTAGAAGAGCTGGCTGGGGGACATATACATCCTTTTTTCAGTTTGCTGGGGAACTATGGCAGCTTTCAGAGGACCTGAAGAAACCTAAGGACATTTTTAGAAGTAAATGAGATAATCCATGTAATTACAAGCTTGTGAGCATGATGTGGATCTAAAGAAAGTTAATGGAATGGTTAATATAGAATCCAATTAATAAATAATTAAGGAGAGTAATATAATTAATGCATATCACTGTGGGCTTATATTAAAGTAAATTTTATTTCTCTCAGTGTTGTTGTTGATGAAGGTAGCTTAAAGATAGTAGTAATATAGTAGATTTCCATAAAGTATCTCACTTAGTAGCATGCAATTTGACCAGGCAGTGAGAATGATGGGGGGGGGGAAGGCAGATGAGTTATGGAAGATTAACTCAGACTGGAAATAAGATGCATGTTTTTTTGAAAAGTACAGTCTTGCTAGTAATTGAGTACATACAGCCTTACTAGTAATTTTTTAATCAGTACTGCATGTAGAAATCTAGAAGCTTTTCAGGGAGGGGAAGATTTATTCAATTATGTCCAATAGAACTGGCAACAATGAAATTGGCATTTTAATCCAAGTCTTGTGATGCTTGTATTTTATTAAGTGCCAGCTGGGAAGATCAGTGCGAGAGACTAAAACACCAGAGCCACACATCAAAGGCCAGGAGAGTGACAGAATCCATGTATACATACATACATACATACATATTTGTGATGATGGGGAAATGCTCCAATTTTATAACTACTGCTTCAGTGATCATTAAACTGAATATGACCATTTTTAGGAGGACAGAGATACAGCTAACCATTCACTACTTGACCATTTTGAATTTTTTTTTTTTTTTTACATGCTGTTGTCTGACTAAAGCAGTCATATTTAGTGCAGTATCATGAGGATGTCTCTGAGCTATTAAGCTCAATCAGCCAGGTGGAAGAGATGGGCAGGAGAACAGGTGGCACACTAAAAGAAAGCGCCTAGATCATACGAAGTGTTTCCTAATGCTAGGCCACAGAATAGACATGATAGAAACATGGTAATTAGCGGTGAACTAGCTGAATAATTTTTTATGATTATTATTAGTCAAGACTGACAGGGCACTTTAAAATTAGACAATTACATTTGAAGGAAAGAGGAAAGCTAAATTTGATTGTAGGTTTGTTTGTTGTTGTTTGGTTTGGGTTTTTTTTGTTTTGTTTTTTCTTTTTTAAATAAAATTTGAGAGCCTAGAGGCTAAGAGATTAGGTTTTCTTTCTAGTTCTGTAAATCAGCAATTAGAAGGGTGGTCTAAGGCACCGATTTTAATTTTTAATGCACCATTTTAAGCTTATTTGTGGAGGGAAGGAGAATGCCCATCCTTTTCCATATCCTCTGAGATTCCTAAACTCACATCACCTCCTCCCTTCTGCTAGCAATCACAAGTATCTCTGCAGCTACATCATAAAGTAGACTAAAAAAATGGTTGAGGAATCACAGTTTTAGAGGCTTTTTTTCACTCTGTGTTTCAACAGGTCTACTATGAAATAGATGAAATGGCCCTTCCTCACACTTTTTAAGTGCTTTGCTATCTTTTCACAGAATAAGGATTACATTAGGAATATTGCTTTCCCTTGCAGAAAATGCAACAATGAATGATTCAAAGAGAGCAACATTCAAAGGAAAGGTGCTGTAACGTTATGATCAAGGAGAACAGACATTAATATGAGACACAGCAGGTGGGTGGCTTTTTGTTTCTGCCAATGAAGAGCCTGCAATTGCACTCTAACTTCTCATACCACTACCACCACTACAGAAACTGAACTCGTTTGCATTCAAACTCCCTCCTCACCATGGACATCAGGTGCAGGGACCAGATATATGTATCAGATCATTACGCCAGATTTTACTTTTTACTCACACACCGTGACATTCTAGCTCTTACTCTGCTGCTACGTACATTGCTTTGGTTATCCTTACAGTTTTATCTAGCTGTCTTTTCTTGAAGGGAATCAGTGAATCATTGGAAAGAAAAGCTGCCAAGAGAAATAACCATTTCATGTGGCAAGACTTTAATGTAGAAATAATTTTCCCCTCACTTTGAAGGAAAAGAAAAGCTCTGTTTAGAAGAGATGCTTGAAAAACATTGCATATTTTGCATTTTTTGGTTATTAGGAAGAACAAAAGGAGCTAGCAAGAGAATTTATTAAATACATCAGCACTGCCTCACAGGTTAGCTCTCTGTATAGAACAACAGAAAATAAGGCAATTCAAGAGATCATTTAATCCATCTTTCTGCCACAGGATTAAATACATCTAGACCATTCTTATCAGAAGTTCACAGAATCTCCACCCCCAGAGGGGTTTTCCAGCCTTCTCAGGCAATTCCCTTCCAGTGCTTCTCTAACCTCATGGCTAGAAAGATTTTCCTATGTCTAACTTGCAGCTCCTTTGCTTTGATTCAAGCCCATCCTATCCCCAGCGGAGCTGGAGAATTATTTACCTACAGATACATTGGTTACACCTCTCTTTGCATCAGTCTAATTAATACATACAGAAAGTGTGATCCTATCTTTACTCATCCTTTTCTTAGGCTTACAACTTCCACTTCTTACAAGCTTTCCTTAAAAAAACATATCTGCTATACCTCCTACACCTCCTCTTAAATCTGGCTCTACACTTTATGGCAAGGTTGTGTGTGTAACTTTAGTGTCATTTCAGTTTCAGTTGTTTGTATTTTCTTAGTGACCAGAAGGTCCTACCCCAATAGCTGCCAGCTCTTCCAAGGTAAAGTAAATGACAGAATTACAAAACTGCAGAGAGCCATAGAGGTTCTGCTAATTTTCATAGTTAACCAAAAGATACATAGGTATATCACTGCTATACCAAGATAGGTACACCTACATACAGAC